TAGTTTTATTCAATATTAAGATTCCTTAGACGTTGTTTCCTGCAAATGACGCGTTTATCCGCCCGGTTCCGGGGGGATGGTGTGAAACAGGTTAATAAATATGACCGCCATTCATCAAAACGTATTAGCAAAAAGGTGTGGCTTAGAAAGAAATGCTCATAACTCATTCACCACATATTTTGGTGGATAGGTTCAGTCTGTGTTGGGGAATAGGCACACCAAAGCATTGTCATTTTGGACTATAGGGGGCGCCAAAAACCCCACCAATTTATAACTCAAGAAGGGATCGACGAAATAAAATAATCTTTTTTTAGACATACTCTGGGGGTGACTATGAACTGAGACGTAAAGTGTCGCAACAAATGATGAACGTGGGCGGTTGAATCGAATATTTGTAATGTTCAGAGGTTGTTGTGTTTAATATTCATGAGAATATTTGTCATTGTTCAAATGATAATAAACAAATATATAAAGCATATTTGTCCACTCATATGTTGATAAGAGTATTAAAAACTTGAAAAATATCCCTCTAAGGTACATTTAGAACAGATAAAAAATGTGCGATTAATTTGCGATTAATCGCGATTAAATATTTTAATCGACTGACAGCCCTAATAAAAACGTTTGAAACAAATAATGTATTTCATTCTTATTTTTACCAATTTGCGTTTTTAGTTTCAGTAAACATTTTATTTTCATATTACATTTCTTTATAGATATTTTTTCAAGTTTTTGTGATTTATTTATATATTTTATTTTCTTATTATTTGTTTCAGTTTTCTTATTATTTAATTATTTTAATTATTATTATTTTTATTTATTTTTTGTATACATTTCTAATTCAATATTGTTTTCAAGTTTTATGTAAAAATGTTTGAAAACAATAATGCATTTAATTTTTATTTGTATCACTCAGGGTCTCCAATGACATTATGATGGCATCGGATGCAGGTGATTGCGTGGTTCTGGTGTTGTTGGACCTGAGTGCAGCGTTTGACACAGTGGGTCAGACGTCAGGTGTCTTCACTCGCTACCGCTCCTGTTTGTCGCTTATCTGTTTTTATCGTTGTGCGTACGCAATGTCAAATGGGCAATTTCCTACGATCGCCAAACTCTGCTGGATATAGGTGCTTCAGTGGCACAATCACTGTCGGATCGATCGGCACAGTGGAGTTGTCACCGTACCCTGCGTCCCCATGTACCAGAGGTAATCTGCTCTACAACCTGTTGCTGCCCCCGAACCTGGAGAGCAAGACGGAGGGGAAGGCGAGACGGAGGGGAAGGCGAGACGGAGGAGAAGGCGAGACGGAGGGGAAGGCGAGCCGGAGGGGAAGACGAGACGGAGGGGAAGGCGAGACGGAGGGGAAGGCGAGACGGAGGGGTGGTAAAGTTCCGCAAGCTGACAGAAGGCCGCTCCTCGTCTATACTGTGCACCATCTCCATGACAGCTGGCCCCAGGGTGAGGCCGTCATGCCTCCGTCCTATTCTCCTGGCATCAACATCCCACCTACCAGCCTTTGCTCCTGCCAAACGACAATTCACAAAACGACAATTCACAAAACGACAATTCACAAAACTCACCAGTGTGGCTTCAGTGCCTGGGTGTCCACATCGAGGGCCGGGGGGCTCTGGAAATCGACCATCGGCTCGTTTCGGCGTGGCTCCTGCGCCCACTGCCTCGGGCCTCGAAGATAGGAAGAGCCGGATCTGGCTCCGTATCCTTTTGTTTGTTGAACGCCAGATCCATTACAAACAAATCCTTTGTATTAAATGACTTCGTCGCCTCAAGAGAGCTGGATTTTATGCTTGTTTCGGAGTCCTGGCAGAGAGCCGGGGAGTTTTTCTCCTTGAACGAACTTTGTCCTCCGGGCTACAGCTACTCCTGTGCTCCTAGGCGCACCGGCCGAGGAGGAGGACTTGCCGCGTTCCACAGAGACTGCTTCTCCACCAACATGGTGAGCACTGGATCCTTCCCAACATTTGAAGTGCTAATAACAAAAGTGGGTCGCTCAAACTCGTTTTATTATATTTTAATCTACCGCCCTCCAGGCAAGAATGGCTCTTTTTTATCCGATCTTGGTGACTTACTAACCTCCATCATCCGCTATGAAAGAGTTCTTCTGTGCGGGGATTTTAACATTCATGTAAATGACTGCTCAACCAATATGCCAGTGATTTCCTTAATGTCACAGAACCTTTTAACTTCTGTCAACATGTGTCTGGCCCAACACATTGGATCTCGTCTTCACAATTGATCTAAATATCAGCAATGTTTGGATAACGCTTATGTTCAGGGGAAGCGAGTAAAAACCTCGCATATTTTAAATAGCGCAGCGGTTGAGAAATTTGTAACAGCTTTTGACAACAATGTTTTAGTGTCGCATGTTGATGATGTTGATTGTCTAGTCAACGCTTTCAATACACACTGCTCCGCCATTTTAGATGACGTCGCTCCCATGGTGACACGCAGCTCTCTAGCTGTAAACACATCCCCCTGGTTAACAGAGGACACCCGTATGCTGAAACGGCATTGTCGCAAAGTTGAGCGGCTGTGGAAAACCACTAATCTCCAGGTACACCGTCTCCATCTGAAGGACCTTTACTGTGATTACAACAATTTGGTCAAAAATGCCCGGGCTACCTATTTTTCTAACCTCATCTCCTCTAGTTAGCACAACCCCAGAGTACTATTTAAAACCATAAATACCATTGTAAACCCGTCCACCCCCTCAGTTCCTATTTATTCAAACGACGACTGCGACCGTTTTCTCACCTTTTTTATAAACAAGGTAGCTGATGTGAGGTCAAGCATCACCCCCTCCCACTCCCCCTTCCCTATCTGTCCAGTTAGGCAGGCCACGCTGAGTAATTTCTCCTGCATCACCATAGCCGACCTGACCACTGTAGTGAGCGCTATGAAATCTTCCTCAAGCCCTCTGGATGCTTTACCAACGTCCATGCTAAAATACGTTTTTTTCATGTGTCGCTCCACCCCTGCTCCACATTATAAACATCTTCATTGTCTCCGGCTCCGTCCCATCATTTTTTAAGCAGGCGGTTGTTCAGCCCCTTCTCAAAAAAACCAATCTAGATCCCTCCCTCCCGAATAATTACAGGCCCATCTCAAAGCTCCCATTTGTGTCAAAAGGTTTAGAAAAAGTTGTTGCTAATCAACTCAATACATTTCTGAATGACAAATTCCAATCAGGTTTCAGAAAACACCACTCCACAGAATCAGCTCTTCTCAGGGTCTCCAATGACATCATGATGGCATTGGATGCAGGTGATTGCGTGGTTCTGCTGTTGTTGGACCTGAGTGCAGCGTTTGACACAGTGGACCACGCCATCATGCTAGATAGACTCAGGGAGTGGGTAGGCATCTCAGGGTCTGCCCTCCAGTGGTTTGCCTCGTACCTCAGTGGGAGAAGTTTCTCCGTGGCGGTGGGCCTTAATTAGCCAATTTGAGGGTGTCTCGTATCATTGTTATGCAGATGATATCCAGATATATTTCTCTTTCAAACCCGTCAAAATGGAAAATGTAAACACCCTCATCACATGTCTGTCTGCAATTGAGGAGTGGATGTCAAGCAACTTCCTACAGCTCAATGCATCGAAAACGGAAGTCTTGATCTTAGCGGCTGATAACATCGCCTCTAAGGTAGCAAGCCACCTGGGTTAATTTAGTGGTAACGTTAGGGCAAACATAAAAAACCTTGGTGTAACCTTCGATCAGTCTATGCTAATAGACAAACACATCAAACTCCTGACCCGTACCTGTTTGTTCCACCTCAGAAACATTGCCAAGCTCAGGGGCTTTCTATCCAATGCAGAACTGGAGATGGCTATCCATGCCTTTATTTCATCCCGGCTTGATTACTGTAATGCTCTGTTCTCCTGCCTCAACAAAACATCAATAAACCGGCTACAACAGGTCCAAAATGCTGCAGCCAGGTCACTCACTCGGTCCAAAAAAACATGCCATATCACTCCGATCCTTTCTGCCCTGCACTGGCTCCCTGTCCATCTCAGAACCCAATGTAAGGTATTGGTTTACACATATAGAGCTCTCCATGGCCAAGCCCCCGTCTACATTAACGACCTTATCCACCCTCACAGGACAACCCGGGCCCTGAGGTCCTCTGAGCAAGGCCTCTCAAGGGTGCCCCGAACCAGGCTAAAAACTAAGGGGGACCGTGCCTTTGAGGCAGTGGCCCCTATGGAATGAACTCCCCCAGAAACTGAGAGCCTCTGTCTCAGTGGAGGTTTTTAAGGGGCAGCTAAAGACTCACCTTTTCCAACAGGCTTTTGGGGCGTCGGAGGAGGAGGTGAGTTTGTAGCTGTTTCTCATTGGTCTTTTATCCTATCTTTTACTGGATGTGTTTTATGCCTTTTATTACAAACAAAAACATTTTTCCCAATGTTTAAAATCTCTCATACCAGTCCCATGTTTATATATTATTATTATTATTGTTATAAGTATTATTATTATTAATAATAATGTAATTATTCATTATTTTAATACTGTTTGTTTTTTCACCACAGGGGGCAGTGAAATTATGTTTAAAAGAAAAACTACAATCCCATGATGCATTGCGGCGGTCCATTTCTAGCTTCCGGTCCTCAGAAGCTACATGTTGCTAACAGACCGAATGTACCGAATTTTATTTATACCGAATGTAATGTGTTTAAGAGACTTTAAAAACACATTCAAAGAGTTCGTTTATCCTTGGAGGGTGATTTATCCGTGCTTTTATTCGTTAAACCCTGTTTTTGTTGCCTCCCGTTCTTTGTTCGCAGCTTTTTATACCACGTTGCTGATCGGTAAACATAAGTAAAGGCATTAACCCCGGGAATAGTGGATAGAAAAAGACGATAGGAGCTGATTTTTGGACAATTCGACTGCAACCCAGAACAGACTGCTAACTCAACAGGAACTATCAAAAACATCCCAATAGAAGTTTAAAGTCACAACATTTTATTAACCAAACAGATTATTGGAGAAACTACTCGGCAGATTAATGAACAGTTCAACTAAATTTCTTCAATGCAGCTTAACGAGGCTAGCAGTTGAGATATAATATTTAAAAAAAGGAATAGCAAGGCTATTAGAAAACCATGGTTGAAACACAGCATAGTAAAACATTTCTTCATAGATCAGGAACCATTACAAACATCAACTGAATTGGAGAAACAGCATCTCTGTGGCCTTGTGTTGGCATAGTGTGAACGCTGGTTAGAACATAAAAAACTGTTGTAATAATAAAGCTTTATTTATACAGCACTTTTCATACAGCACTTTTCATACAGCACGTGCAGCTCAAAGTCCTTTACAAAATGGCGACACATCACAAGTTAAAAATAAACAACAAGAAAGTCCCCTCAGACGTTAAGACCTTTACAGATACATGCAGCAAAATATAACATTGTAACAGGTTAATGGCGCGTTTCCACTACAGCGCGGAGCACGGTTTAAGAGGGTTGTGACGTCAGCGGCCCGTCTTTGGTTGCGTTTCCACTTGGCCTAGTACCGGCCGGCGGGTCCTAATTCACAGTTTTTCTGGCCTCATAAAATCGTGGTTCTAGGGCCAGAGACAACGAGGCTGAGTCGGGCTGAGTATGCTAAACTAGAGAGAGCATCGTTAGCAAGGGGGCTACAACTACAACAAGATGGACATATTTGACCGTGATTTAATTGTAATACACGTTTCAAAATGATGCCGAAGTAACAACACACTGATACCGGTTAGTAAAAATTATGAATTAATGCTTTGACAAGTCTGCAGACAGACGGCAGGCGAAAAACCTTTTAAAATGCGTGTTTTCTAAATGGAGATTGGCTAAGCTAACGCAGTATATGCTCCGACCGTCCACACTCACAACAACGGCCTATACAGACATAAATAAAGCAGCGACTGTATTCGCCATGACACAGGCAGTCTGTGGTTTGTACTTGTTTAACTTTTGTCTAGTTTCTGAACATATATGAGGAGCTGTGAGCTCTGAGTGCTAACAGCTAACGGCTGTGTTGTTTTTCTGGGGTTCTCATTGAAGATGACGTCACGGCTCCGCCTACACTGCGTTACTATAGATACTACCCCAGTTCCTAAACTGTAATGGAAATGCGCCATAAAGTGAGCCAGTCCTAACGAGGCCTAGCCATACCGAGCGAGGCCGAGCGAGGCCGTGTAGTGGAAATGCGCCATAAGATACACAAGGAGGTAAAAGGTATGACTATAACAAATTAAATACAGTAAAAAAAATATATGATTTATCTCGGAAAGATAAGACACAAGACAGGTGAATAGATTCAACAATATAAAACCCTATAAAGTAAAGTGAACATATAGGTACAACAGAAATAAAAACTCAAATTAATAGTAATAAAAACATCATAATTCTAATAAAATATAAAGAAACCAACGTAAAAATAAATGTTGCTATTGAAACTGTTAAATAACTAATATAAGATAAAACCCTTCCTATATCATAAATGAAACAATATAAAAGTAGGTAAATAATAAAGACTAAAAGACCATTTAAAGTGGGGGGTTGCTAATAAAAAGCTAATCTAAAGAGATGTGTCTTTAGCTGGCATTTAAAAATGTCCACTGAGCCTCTCTGATATTTCCTGGTGTTCCACAGTTCGGGAGCGTAGTGGAGAAAAGCCTCACCCATTTTATTTAGGGGGATTTTAGGGATATTTAAAAAGCTGAAAAGGACCTCAGGGCTTGTCCTGGGACATAAAACAAGACTGACTGTTAAATTATAACTACAGCTCTCAGGACATCGGGAGGAGGAAACAGCTAGCTTGGCTCTCATAGTTGTTCAAAATTATGCAGAATGGATTCGCTCGTGGACATTAAGGTGAATACTTTGAGAAAACGTTTTCCCACACTCTTAAGACCACTATGGTTTCTCTCCAGTGTGAATAAGTTGATGTTTTTTGAGAGCACCTGATTGAGTGAACGTTTTCCCACACTCTTCACACCAGTACGGTTTTTCTCCAGTGTGAACACGTTGATGTTTTTTTAGTTCACCTGATGTAGTGAATGTTTTCCCACACTCTTCACACCAGTACGGTTTTTCTCCAATATGAATACGATGATGTTTTTTGAGATCACTTGATGAAGTGAACATTTTCCCACACTCTTCACAGCTGTACGGTTTTTCTCCAGTATGAATACGATGATGTGATTTGAGATGACCTGATGTAGTGAATGTTTTCCCACAGTCTTCACAGCTGTACGGTTTTTCTCCAGTATGAATACGTTGATGTGATTTGAGAACATCTGATGTAGTGAATGTTTTCCCACAGTCTTCACAGCTGTACGGTTTTTCTCCAGTGTGAATACGTTGATGTGATTTGAGAGTACCAGATTGAGTGAAAGTTTGCCCACACAATTCACAGCTGTACGGTTTTTCTCCAGTGTGAATACGTTGATGTATTTTGAGTTCCCTTGATCTCTTGAACGTTGTCCCACACTCTTCACAGCTGTACGGTTTCTCTCGAGTGTGAAGACTTTGATGTGATTTGAGAGCACCAGATTGAGTGAAGGTTTTCCCACACTCTTCACAGCTGTATGGTTTCTCTCCAGTATGAATAAGCAGGTGGCTCTTTAAATCTCTAGATGTTGTAAAGGATTTGTCACATTGCTGACAGCTGTGACGTCTCTCTCTTCCTTTCGGTTTCTAGAACAGACGGAGAGAGAAAGTAAATCTAAAAAGCATAAAAACATATACAGTTAACACAATAAAAACTCTCTTAATATAAACCTTGACTTAACGGAATACTACTTTTACTAACTGTTTGTGTTTATTATATTTGTATTATATTAGATACAGTAATACAGCAACATTCTAACCACAGTAAATACCAGAGGTGGGGGATTCGAGTCACATGACTTGACTCGAGTCACATGACTTGACTCGAGTCGTATATTTTTGGACTTGAGACTTGCTTGACTAACATTGATCAAATCCTCGACTTGACTTTGACTTGGTATTTATGACTTGAGAATTGACTTAGGCTTGAGACAGATGACTCGAAAGGACTTTACTTTCTAAAATAAAGTATTTGCATTTGCATTGTACGAAGCCCCTAAAGGGCAATGAAAGAAAGGAGTGAGAGACAGTAACTCGTTCGCAGGAGAAAGTTACCGGTGTGCCAAGTAGGAAGTGGAGCGCACAGGAGACAGACGTTTCATTGCAGACTGTTATGTTTATGTGGGGAAATGGCAGTGCATACATTATTTGAGATATATTTCGAAGTCGGACTTCATTTTAGGGACATTTCGGCCAGGAGAGCTATTTGTTTAAGCACCGGATCGGCAAAACAGGAGAGTCTGTGAACCAGTCTGCTCTGATCTATGAATTAATGTCATGGAAAATATTTTAGGTGGGGCTGTGGAAATGGTGATCAAACAATACTAGAGGGGTCCGGGGGGATGCTCCCCCGGTAAAAAAATTTGAGAAAATACCCCTTAAATCATGACTTCTGGTGATGTTAGAGGGGGGGAGAAGAACAATTTCTTAAAAATATGAGAAGACTGATCAATACCTCCATAACTTCAGTGTGGTTAGCTATGAATCTTCCAAAACTTCCAAACACCTTGTCCTGGACATAGTTTCTACAGCATAAACTGTGCAACAGTACAGTAGGCCCACACAAACTGCAGAACACCGGGGCTTTGGGAACACTGATTTAATTCCCATTTAACCTGTTAAGGGGCTTTTTTCCCCCGTTTTTTTTCTCACGAAACTGTGTCTCAGGGCTTCTTAAAATGTAATAAACTATTCATGTGTCCTACTCAGAGGAAACGCATCTAACTGATGATATGAACCATGTTTACCGAAACAAAACACAAGTCTCACAAGAAGCGTCTAAATGAGCCCTGAGCGAAAAAATGCTAACGCACTCTAGGTATAAATCAATCGATATACTTATCGGATATGCACAAACAAGCTTACAAGCTGAGATTCCACATATTCTAGAAATATAAGTATCATCACTGAGCGATCAGAACTCGCGACAGGGGAAGCAAATACAGACATCACACGACGTAGCTTTAGGTAGCAAAACATGGAGATATGCTCACCTTTTGCAGAATAACAATTCTGATCAAAAACGAGAAAAACGCAGCTGAAGGTTAATCCATAAATTAATCCAATGTGTCTGTCACTTTGAAAAATGATTGATGATCCATAATTCCATTTTTATGTCAAAAACTGAGTTTTCATTAGCTGCTAATGGTAGCTTCCAGAGTGTATGACAGCTTCCTGTTTTGTCTCCTTGGATACGAGTCCAAACAACTCACAGACTGCACCGGGCGCTCACGTAGGAGCCCTGTGACCATCATATTTGACGACGCTGATTGGCTGAAATTATGTTTTCGCGGCATAGTTTACACGTTACAGATAGCAACAGTCAGCTGCTAGTGGCTGCTGCTGCACTGGTTGAGGGCTCCTCTCTTAGCGCCCAGACGAGAGAAGGTACACGGGCAAGGCCAGGCAGGAAACATGTGACTTATCAGTAACTTTAGACATCGTAACACAATTTTAAACGAGATTTTATTGTAGATTATACATTTTACTGATACCAATTATATAATATTTACCTTGTTCATTAAAAATAAAAATAAATATATTTTTTTTAATATATATATATTTTTTATTTATATATATTTTTTTGAATATGGGAAGAGGTGGGGCGGCGCCCCTAGCGCCCCTATGGACCGGCCGCCACTGCTCCTAAACCACCAAGTGTGCCAATCCAGAACAGATACGCTCCACTGACACAGAACCGGAGATCTCTTTCTGATGAGCTGGATAACCTGTCCTCTTCACACAGCAGGGTAAGGACCAATAGCTACTCCAAAAGTAAAAGGCTCGAGGGAAAGCTAACGACTAGGCCTGAAACTCTGATTGTGGGTGACTCTGCTGTAAGAGATGTAAAATGCATTCACTACTACTTACATTTAATATCTAACTCCTTCAGCCTACTTTCAGCTGCACAAACCATTCCACTATTAACTTACTCAGCTATTTCAGGACATTGAGGCTACACATGTTGTTGTTTAAAACAGGGATGCAAACTCATCAGGTATGAAAAAGGTGACAAGGATCCGAGCCCCCCGACCCCACGGAATATCAGCTTTAAAATGAGGAATAACAGGATTTTAGCAGTCAGAACAACTAAAGCAGTTAATAATAACAGAAACGCCAAAGAGTCACATCTAATAGAAATGTATAAAAGCATTTATTTTAATTGTGTAGCAGTCAGTTTATAATTTTGGCAGCACTGTTGAGCATTTTGAAAATGTATTTTCATGCCTCTGTGCAAGGCTTAGTCTTTCTATCTTTATAGCCAGTGGTGTAAAGTAACTAAGTTCATAAACTCAAGTACTATACTTGGGTACAATGTTGAGATACTTGT